CTTTTTTTTTTTTTTTTTTTAAAAAATAGGGGGGTTCGGGGGCCTTTTTTTACCCTTTTTTTTTCGGCGTTTTGGGACCCTTTTTAACCCCCTTTGGCCAAAAAGGGGGATTTTTTTTTTTCAACCAAGCCAGGCCCCAGATTTTTTTTTTTTCCGCAAAATTGGCTTTTTTTTTTTCTTAGGGTTTTTAAAAAAAAAAAACCCCGGGGGGCCCCTTGAAAAAAAAGGTCCCCCCCCCCCCCCTTTTTTTTTTGCAACAGTTTTTTTTTTTTTGGGCCGGCCGGGCCTTTACCGCCGGTATTTCAAACCCCCGGGCCGTTTTTCCCTTTCCCTTCTCCTTTAAAATCCCGGGGGGGAAAAAGCTTTTTTTTTGAACCCCCCCCCCCCCCCCCTTTCCCAAAACACTTTTCCCCCAAAGGGGGCCCCCCGATACCCCAAAAAGGGCCCCCCCCTGGAGTAAAGGGGCCCTTAAAACCCCCCCCCCCCCCCCCCCCCCCCCCCGCGCGATTCCCGACCCGCCCCTCTGCACGGAAACCCAGACCCGAGATTGGCACCGACGAGCGAGTGGGACACTTGCGCCTCGCATGCCATCGTCACGGTGAGCGCAGCATTTCGTCCCGAACGATGGTGCTTGTGTTTCCGATCCTTCTTTTCTTTTTTTTATTGTATGTTGTTCCCGCCGGTTCTCGCCCGCTGCTCCTTCTGACAGCCCGAGAATGCTGTTGGCAGTACGACGTCCACAGATTATGAGGCCTCGCCGGCATATCCGCAGCGGTCGTTATCTTCGCGGGGACGGACTCGATTGATTCGTGGTGCCCGAGGAATTACACCTCTGACGCCACACACAAGAGCGCAGCATGAAGCGATCGTGGTTCGTTAGTGATCATTCCTTTGACAGACTGCTGTGTACGACTGCTGTGTAGCTCGTTTGCCCTGGTGGCGTGATCTCTGACTCCTGGGATGGAGAGGCCTAGACCCTGCACCTTTGTTTCCTCTTGCCGCAAGCTCACGGGTAGGGATGAATGCAACAGTACTCCTTGTCTTTGAAGCGGATCGAGGGCAAGCTCAAGCGCCCCCCTCCCCCCCATGTGCACTTTCTGCGTAACACCGAGTGATGCACATCGATGTTTGAAAGGTTCCACGCAAGAAGCACTTGGTTAGCCCCCACCCGCCTGGTCCTGCCGGAACAATGCTCCGTCCTCTCGAGGACGCGTTGTCATGGTCCATCCGCTAAGGCATGTGAAACAGTAGTACCCCCCCCCCCCCCGTGGTTCCCGTGCGCAAGGCCGCCGGCGGGCAGGTATTGCAACATGCGGGAGGCAAGGCGGGGGAGCCCGGAGAGGACGTGCGGTACAACAAGGAGGACCCTCTTAACCCGTTCTTCGTTGTCTACGGCAGCCGAAAAGCAGCGGCACCCGCGGTGTAACTGTTCGTGAAGGGGAACCATCAGGAGGCGTGGTCGCATTGGGTGGGGGTAGTCGTGTTTGGCATGCCTTGGTTGTTGGATTGTTGATCACGCGTCCTCGAGAGGACAGAGCAAGGGAGGCAGAGGCATGGGGGGAAAAGATTCTCACGTCTCGCGTCTCTCGCTGTCGGCGTCTAATGCCGGGCCAATCGTTCAGCTCGAACAGAGAAGAACTGGAGTTGTTGCAGATTCCAGGAGAAGAGCGGAAGGATCTGCGTCGTTATCGAGTGTAGGTACGGAAAATAAACGACATAAGCTTGCGGGGGACATGCGCATGTCATTCGTTCATAGGAGTACGCAATTGCAGTATCACGAAACAGACTGCACAGGCGATCAACACCGTGGACGACGGGATCCGCGCGGTCGTTGATAGAGCCGGCAGAGGGTTGCAAGATTTTCTAAGTACTTACAAATAGCTTCTCGGCTGCTGTCGTTCTTGCTGTTTCGGTGTGGTTGGAGGGAAACACGGCTAAGCGACAGCTCGTGTTTTCACAGACGAACAAAAGCCACGGCTCAGCGATGAATGGATCCTGCGCCAAAAACTCTAACACAGCTGCCAAGGCGTGTGCTCGTCGATGTCGCCGAAACAAAAGAAAAGACATTTCTACCTGATATTTTTCGACGATTGTTTGCGTTTCTCGCCTCCTGGCGCTTCAACTGCAGGTAACGCGACCACGCACGGCATTCTCTTCGCAGCTTCCTGGTGCACTACAAAATCATGGTGTCTGACGAATAGTCTATGTACACGAATGGTAAAAAATTAGACTATCCCATCAAACACCACCCACCGTCGTTGAGGTGCTCGTCCTCTGTTGGCAGTTTTCTTTCGTTCTTCATTTATCGGTTTCGTTTACAATCCTCCTGCGGTTTGGTGAGCTGAAGACTATCGTCATTGTAGACATTTATCGGGTTCGTTTATAATCCTGTGGTTAGTTGAACGGAAGACTATCGTCATTGTATGCATACACTAGTGCACAGCGACGTGTGCGTACGGTGCAAAGCCTATCAAATAATAATTGGTTGGGTTTGTTGAACAGACTTTTGGGGGTGAGCGCGGTACCGTAGATACTGATGATGATGCTGTAGCTTGTTTGAGAGGATGGCTCAGTGGCGCATGTTTCAGGCTGTGTCTCAAGCGAACCAATAATAATACCACACCCGCAGTAGTTTGTCCCAGACGTTTGGTGCAGCACCCTCAATGATAACAACGAACCCTCCACAACAACCCGATTTGTTCTACTGCCCTATCTTCATCCCAAAGTTAGTCGTAAACTAGCGAGCAGTTAGTTGGATTCAGCGTTGCTGTCCATGCAG